AGGGAAAATATAACCGGCTGATTGGCCAGCTCCTGTCACGAGACGCGCACGCAGGGGGGAGCACAAAGATCAGTATTGTAAAACGAGGTATCACTCTTACAGGATTTTTCACCTGTGTTACACTTTTCATGGATATCTTTGAGAAATGGCTTTCTTCTTGCCACTCTTCCATAAAGGCCAGATTTGTGCAGTGCACGACCGATTGTTGTCCTATGGACAGACTCTCCCACCTCAGCAGTAGTTACTGTAGATTACACTGTCACCGGAGACACAGGTTTGAAAGTGGGACGTGGACGCGAGCAGGACTGAGGCTGTTATAATGTTTATCCTTTTTTTTGCAGCAGATCTGAGTCCTTGTTTTTGTTTTAGTCAGTGTTGTATCAATCTCAGTGTGTTTAAAGCGTCACAATGACCTCAATGTTGTGGTGCGCTCCGAGGGGCAGAGCGTTACAACACAAGCATTTATTGAACTGCAGTGTTTTTAAGAGAAGGCTCAAAACACATTTTAGATTATCTTTTGATTAGTATTCATTGTACCCATTAAATTTGTTTTGAGTGTGTGTATGTGCGTGGGCTTGTGTGTGTGTCTGAATGAAAAGCACATTATTAATACTATTTATTTTGTGTGTGTGCGTGCTTGTGTGTGTCTGAATAAAAAGCCCTGTATTAATGCTATTTGTTTTGTGTGTGTGTGCGCGCTATTCTTAAGAATAATAATAACACATCAAACTTGTATGGCCCTTTTTTGGACACTCTCACTTCACATGGGCAATACAACAAAATTAAATTGAATGAAAATCAGGGGTTTACAGAAAAGCTTATTAGAACCAGTGTGGGCGGGTCCCGGCTCAAAAGTGGCCAAAATTACATGTGCTGACATGCTGCAATACCACCCCGGGCCTGTGGGGGTGGCCCCAGAAGAAGAATTAGCCAATTCTAGCATATAGCATCTTCTTACCTCTCAAAAACGTCTTTACAGGATGGACCAAAAGTTTGCTCTTGGCCCAAAGCTCCGGTCCACATGTGTGTCAATGCTGAGGGGGGTGTTTTGGACCACTCTAGTTTAGTCGCTGTGGATTTGAAGTCACTCGTTAAATGAATGGAGCTCGTGCAGCTGACGCATGCGCCGAAGCGCTTTTTCACATTTTCCAGCCCCCGCGGCCATTTTGAAACTGCCCATAGGCCGCGGAAGTTGTGGCCCATTAGTTTGAACGGCGGAGATAGGAGTGACTACGTTCGTTAATATTTACAGTCTATGGTTAGAACAGATGGGTTTTGGGACTGGATTCTTGCTTTCACTTTGTTGTGGTCAATAATAACAGAGAAAAATATGAAATGAAAGAGGTCAGGCTCTCACGTAACTACAGTCATTTTCAGAGTTCAACATCTTACTCAAAGTGAGGCAGTCGCAGGGATGTGAGTATTTATCTGCCGTTTCTTTTCCTGTTTTTCTACAATGTGAGCGTGGCTGATTGTGCGTCCGTCTGAATGCTGCATTAAAAACTGTGTGAGTGCTTTCTTCTGCTCGGTGCATGGAGTGAAGCTGTCGGTCGATTGTGGGAGTCTGTTCAGACAGACGTGCTGTGCTCAAAGCAGGTTTTCACTTCCTCTCTCTCTGCATCTCTGAGCACTTTCTATTCCATGTTGTACACTTCCTGTCAAATCCTGTATTTGTGTGATTTTTGGAGCTAAGATGAAAAAATGCACCTCTCAAAAACCTGGGAACAGTTTTGTTTAAATGTCATTTACAATCATGATGTTGTAGCGTGGAATCGTGTTTGTGCAGCTTTGAGATTCACATTTAAACATGTAACTGAACAAGTTTATTTATATAGCACAATTCATACACAAGGCAACTCAAAGTGCTGAACAAAACAAGAAAGCATTAAAATCATAAATAATCACAGAACATTAAAAAGAAAGATAAAAATATAAAATCCCTCAGTTGTAGCACAGCTAAACAGAACTGTCTTTAACCTGGTTTTAAACATTGTCAGAGAGGAGGCCTGTCTCACAGGCCTCCACCTTAAGTGGTGAGTCTAGATAGATAGATACTTTATTGATCCCCGTAGGAGAAATTCAAGTGTCCAGTAGCAATACAAAATAAAATTGATCATTCTAAAAAGATATCACTAGTAATAATCAGCAACGGCCCTGCAGGTCACAGCAGCAGAGGTGGAGTAGTTTCCTCTAGTCTATGGCTGTCTTGGGGAAATCTGAGAAAAGGATTGTGGAGTCTGCCATTATTAGTATTCTTAATTCTACATAGAGTATTCATCTGTAAAAAGAAGGTGATGGGACACATCAGCACTTAATGGCTCACTCGTCTGATGATCTCTCAGTCTGGAGGAACAATAGGACCTTCATGTGAGAACAAGCAAAATCATGAGACTGTACATGAACATCTTGTGGATGCACGGTTGTCCTAAATACTGTAAGAGCCCACTGCGTAAAGAAGCTGTACCCGATTTATTTTTCTAATGAGTTCATAAAAATGTTTATTACTACAAACAAGGGTTATCCTAATCTATAATTTAATGTAAATGTTGAGTTCATTGATTCAGCTGTTTATGAATTCAGGCTTAAAAAGTGCTGAGTAGAGACTTAGCGTGACGCCCGCTCTCCTCCAATCACAGAACGAGGCTGCCTCCTCTAGCCTCTACAGCGCTGCTAAACACAGTAGCATGTTAGCATAAGTGGCTATAACTCCTCTGGCTGTAACTGCAGACACAGCAAAACAGCCCAAACACACAACAGTGAGGAAGAGAAGAGGAACTAAAGCAAAACATGATCAAAGAAGAAACCAAGCCCTGAACAGAGCTAGTTACATCGTATCCTCTGGAGAGACTGGTCTATGGGAGAGACCTGCGGGACCGCCTCGGACTATCTACGCTCGGACTATCTACGCTCGGCCTATCTACGCTCGGACTATCTATGCTCGGACTATCTACGCTCGGCCTATCTACGCTCGGACTGTCTACGCTCGGACTATCTACGCTCGGACTATCTATGCTCGGACTATCTACGCTCGGACTATCTACGCTCGGACTATCTATACTCGGACTATCTACTGTATGCTCGGACTATCTACGCTCGGACAATCTATGCTCGGGTTATCTATGCTCTGACTATCTCCGCTCGGACTATCGATGTTCGGACTATCTAAGCTCGGACTATCTATACTCGGACTATCTATGCTCGGACTATCTGCGCTCGGACTATCTACGCTCGGACTATCCACGCTCGGACTATCTACGCTCGGGCTATCTACGCTCAAACTATCTACGCTTGGACTATCTATGTTCGGACTATCTACGCTTGGACTATCTACGCTCGGACTATCTATGTTCGGACTATCTACGCTTGGACTATCTAAGCTCAGACTATCTATTTTCGGACTAACTACGCTCGGACTATCTACGCTCGGACTATCTATGCTCGGACTATCTATGCTCGGACTATCTATGTTCGGACTATCTATGTTCGGACTATCTATGCTCGGACTATCTATGCTCGGACTATCTATGTTCGGACTATCTATGCTCGGACTATCTATGTTCGGACTATCTATGTTCGGACTATCTATGCTCGGACTATCTATGCTCGGACTATCTATGTTCGGACTATCTATGCTCGGACTATCTATGTTCGGACTATCTATGTTCGGACTATCTATGTTCGGACTATCTATGCTCGGACTATCTACGCTCGGACTACATGTGGACGTGAAACTAGCGGTTTGATTATTGTCATTATCAAACCGTCCGGACCTCTCATTCACTCACATTGTCCTGGTGTGGATTTGACGTTGTTCTTTGTTTTGGTTTTAGTTTGACTTCCTTGTTGCCCTGTTGATGGTCTGCCCCGTCCTGATGTCTCTGTCTCTATGTACCTGTGCTCTATGTACCTGTGCTCCTCTCCATTTGTTGCTGGTCCAGTGAATGTCTTTGTCTGTCTTGGTTCCTGGTTCTGTTTTGGATTTGTTAATTTGTCTCTTGAGCTTTTCACTTTTTCATCATTTTTTCATTTTTATTTTTGCATTCCTGCCTTTTTGGGTCTTCATTCCTTTCCACCACATGACACACATATCGAATGTACACAGGAAAAGAGGGTGATGTGTCTTGCCTGAAGACACAACATTAGTCGGGGTCTACAGTCTCAGTCCTGGGTCTACAGCCTCAGTCCTGGGTCTACAGCCTCAGTCCTGGGTCTACAATCTCAGTCCTGGATCTACAGCCTCAGTCCTGGATCTACAGCCTCAGTCCTGGGTCTACAGTCTCAGTCCTGGATCTCCAGCCTCAGTCCTGGGTCTACAGCCTCAGTCCTGGATCTACAGCCTAAGTCCTGGGTCTACAGCCTCAGTCCTGGATCTACAGCCTCATTTCTGGGTCTACAGGCTCAGTCCTGGATCTACAGCCTAAGTCCTGGGTCTACAGCCTCAGTCCTGGGTCTACAGCCTCAGTCCTGGATCTACAGCCTCAGTCCTGGGTCTACAGGCTCAGTCCTGGATCTACAGCCTCCGCTTCAATGTGTTTGATATTTTTGCAACATATTTGTGAAGTCCTCTGAGACCAATGCAGTTTAAATTAACTAATATCATTAATTCGAAAGTTCCAAAAATACATGCAAGTGCAAACTAGTGACAATTAGGAATTAGCTACACAAATGTGTTGTGCCAAAATCTATCTCCAATCTTCTTCTTAATGTGGTTTTGCAACTGTGCCCAAAATGACCGTCTGAGTTTATTATAGTGAGCGTCCCCGGGTGTTCACAGCAGACACCAGTTTAATAACACTTTAGACCCATACGACCTGCACGACTGCCTTTTCGGCTCTGCTTTTCATACTGAAATACTCACCGGAGCGCCTCATTGATTTCTTTTGCAGAAACGCCGCCATTCTTCTCTCAGTGACAAACATTGGCAGCGAAAACCAAAGCATCCTTCATTTCACGGGGACCGGGAGGAGGCTGGGGTCACGCGGCAGGGGTGTCCTCTCTCTTCAGCTCTCTTCAGCGAGACTTAACCGGTCCACGGCGATCGATACGGAGGCCGCAGGGTCAGGCCGGAGCAGAGTGGCCCTCCTTAACTCTCCCATCTCTGCTCTAACCTCCCCCTGAACAGGCTTGCACCGGCGCCCTGCTGGAGCTGCGCCACGGGGCCCACGGAAATCTATGTAAAGAGCAGTGGTGGAGCGAGCAGTCGATTGGTCCGATTGGCCTTTTTCGGCAGACAGAGAAGAGGAGTTTAGAAAGCTGAGGTGGTCCGCTAACGAAGGGAGGGATCGATTCGTGGCTGGACCTTTTGGCTCATTATTGCACTGGATTTATCTTTAAGAAAAACTGACTCACCATCTGTATTCAGCTGGGGCGCAGACACACTTCGCCGTTTCATCTATTCAGACTTTTAGTAATGTAGGTGTGCAAAAAATATGGCAATTAAAGTCTCTGCATGTGAGTCTATACTGTATGGTTTTACATTTTTAATTACAGAAATAGATGCCTGAATGAAATTATCTCTGATTCTGAGTTTCAGAATCCATTTTGGTGATGCTGTTGTGAATAGCGGAAAGGGTTTTGACGTAACATAGACTGTATATAGATGGACAACGCTCTCCCAACAGTAAGGAAGTGCTCTTGGCTGAAGTTTTGCTCTGATTCCTATTAACATACTCAGTAACCGCTTGTATCACATCGACCATTTGGCACGTACAAATCCATTAGCACTCTTTGTGATCCTCTTTTAGCTTTTTTCTCATTTTTAACCATATATGGACGAACCAATCAGATGCTTCCATTTGTGGGGGAAAGTCACGCTTGTCTTAGCAACCGCCTTAGCAACACGTCTGCCCCTTTACATTCCAAAGGTAACCCTGTCGTCTCAAATGCCTATAAAAGGAAATCGGCTCCAGCTAGCTTATGTTCAAATCAGCTTCTCCCACATTCAACAAACACTTTGGCGATGTCACACTTGGTCAGTCCACTCCTGAAATGTAGTAAGTAAAAAAGTATTGTTTATTTTTTAATATGGCGTATTATGTGGCTTTGTCCATTATTTACATAATTTATGAGATTTTAGACCATTATAATCTTTATTGCTTTGTATGAAATGAGTCTTACATCCGTTTAACATTGTAGCCTGGATTACCAATATTTAACTAATACATTATAATCTCCTGGATTAACCCTGTAGAGTTAAGTAAATATATATAAGCGCTTGAAATGCAGAGTAACAAACAGATAAATGAGAGTATAGAACAAGCCCTGTGCTCAGTATTGAGTGAGTGCAGTATTGTGACTGTATGGAGCAGTATTGTGACTGTATGGAGCAGTATTGTGACTGTATGGAGCAGTATTGTGAGTGTATGGAGCAGTATTGTGACTGTATGAAGCAGTATTGTGACTGTATGGAGCAGTATTGTGACTGTATGGAGCAGTATTGTGACTGTATGGAGCAGTATTGTGAGTGTATGGAGCAGTATTGTGACTGTATGAAGCAGTATTGTGACTGTTTGGAGCGGTGTTGTGACTGTATGGAGCAGTGTTGTGAGTGCAGTGGAGTGTATGCAGCAGTATTGTGACTGTTTGGAGCAGTATTATGACTGTATGGAGCAGTATTGTGACTGTATGGAGCAGTATTGTGACTGTATGGAGCAGTGTTGTGACTGTATGGAGCAGTATTGTGACTGTATGGAGCAGTGTTGTGACTGTTTGGAGCAGCATTGTGACTGTATGGAGCAGTATTGTGACTATATGGAGCAGTATTGTGACTGTATGGAGCGGTGTTGTGACTGTATGGAGCAGTATTGTGACTGTATGGAGCAGTATTGTGACTGTATGGAGCAGTATTGTGACTGTATGGAGCAGTGTTGTGACTGTATGGAGCAGTATTGTGACTGTATGGAGCAGTATTGTGACTGTATGGAGCAGTATTGTGACTGTATGGAGCAGTATTGTGACTGTATGGAGCAGTATTGTGACTGTATGGAGCAGTGTTGTGAGTGCAGTGGAGTGTATGGAGCAGTATTGTGACTGTATGGAGCAGTGTTGTGACTCATGGAGCAGTATTGTGACTGTATGGAGCAGTGTTGTGACTCATGGAGCAGTATTGTGACTGTATGGAGCAGTGTTGTCAGTGCAGTGGAGTGTATGAAGCAGTATTGTGACTGTTTGGAGCGGTGTTGTGACTTTTTGGAGCAGTATTGTGACTGTATGGACCCATTCTGATTTGCTGTTAGTACGACCTCCCAACCGTCATCATGATAACGCTATCACACACATACACCTAAGTGCCGTTAACAGGGAGGACCTGCAACTTAGCTGTTTTAGAATAAACCGTGATCATAAATCACTTTAGACAACTGTGAAAGCATTTACTTTATCACACACACACAGGGTCAACAGAATCTAACTCATTAAAACTCTTTGAAAAATACCGTGCAGTAACACCTTTCACCACTTGCTCAAGAGCGCCGTCCCCTTTCTGGGGAGTTTTAGGGTGCAGTACCACCTTTTCACCACTTGCTCTCTACCGCCGTCAATACTATCTACTTATGGAGCAGTGTTGTGACTGTATGGAGCAGTGTTGTGACTGTATGGAGCAGTATTGTGACTCATTGAGCAGTATTGTGACTGTATGGAGCAGTGTTGTCAGTGCAGTGGAGTGTATGAAGCAGTATTGTGACTGTTTGGAGCAGTATTGTGACTGTATGGAGCAGTGTTGTGACTGTATGGAGCAGTGTTGTGACTGTATGGAGCAGTATTGTGACTGTTTGGAGCAGTATTGTGACTGTTTGGAGCAGTATTGTGACTGTATGGAGCAGTATTGTGACTGTATGGAGCAGTATTGTGACTGTATGGAGCAGTATTGTGACTGTATGGAGCAGTATTGTGACTGTATAGAGCAGTATTGTGACTGTATGGAGCAGTATTGTGACTGTATGGAGCAGTATTGTCACTGTATGGAGCAGTATTGTGAGTGCAGTGGAGTGTATGGAGCAGTATTGTGACTGTTTGGAGCAGTATTGTGACTGTATGGAGCAGTATTGTGACTGTATGGAGCAGTATTGTCACTGTATGGAGCAGTATTGTGAGTGCAGTGGAGTGTATGGAGCAGTATTGTGACTGTATGGAGCAGTATTGTGACTGTTTGGAGCAGTATTGTGACTGTTTGGAGCAGTATTGTAACTATATGGAGCAGTATTGTGACTGTTTGGAGCAGTATTGTGACTGTATGGAGCAGTATTGTGACTGTATGGAGCAGTATTGTGAGTGCAGTGGAGTGTATGCAGCAGTATTGTGACTGTTTGGAGCAGTATTGTGACTGTATGGAGCAGTATTGTGACTGTATGGAGCAGTATTGTGACTGTATGGAGCAGTGTTGTGACTATATGGAGCAGTATTGTGACTGTATGGAGCAGTGTTGTGACTGTTTGGAGCAGCATTGTGACTGTATGGAGCAGTATTGTGACTATATGGAGCAGTATTGTGACTGTATGGAGCAGTATTGTGACTGTATGGAGCAGTGTTGTGACTCATGGAGCAGTATTGTGACTGTATGGAGCAGTGTTGTCAGTGCAGTGGAGTGTATGAAGCAGTATTGTGACTGTTTGGAGCGGTGTTGTGACTGTTTGGAGCAGTATTGTGACTGTATGGAGCAGTGTTGTGACTGTATGGAGCAGTATTGTGACTCATGGAGCAGTATTGTGACTGTATGGAGCAGTGTTGTCAGTGCAGTGGAGTGTATGAAGCAGTATTGTGACTGTTTGGAGCAGTATTGTGACTGTATGGAGCAGTGTTGTGACTGTATGGAGCAGTGTTGTGACTGTATGGAGCAGTATTGTGACTGTTTGGAGCAGTATTGTGACTGTATGGAGCAGTATTGTGACTGTATGGAGCAGTATTGTGACTGTATGGAGCAGTATTGTGACTGTATGGAGCAGTATTGTGACTGTATAGAGCAGTATTGTGACTGTATGGAGCAGTATTGTGACTGTATGGAGCAGTATTGTGACTGTATGGAGCAGTATTGTCACTGTATGGAGCAGTATTGTGAGTGCAGTGGAGTGTATGGAGCAGTATTGTGACTGTTTGGAGCAGTATTGTGACTGTATGGAGCAGTATTGTGACTGTATGGAGCAGTATTGTCACTGTATGGAGCAGTATTGTGAGTGCAGTGGAGTGTATGGAGCAGTATTGTGACTGTATGGAGCAGTATTGTGACTGTTTGGAGCAGTATTGTGACTGTTTGGAGCAGTATTGTGACTGTTTGGAGCAGTATTGTGACTGTTTGGAGCAGTATTGTGACTGTATGGAGCAGTATTGTGACTGTATGGAGCAGTATTGTGAGTGCAGTGGAGTGTATGGAGCAGTATTGTGACTGTTTGGAGCAGTATTGTGACTGTTTGGGGCAGTATTGTGACTGTATGGAGCAGTATTGTGAGTGCAGTGGAGTGTATGGAGCAGTATTGTCGGTACAAAAGCAGAGAACACAGAAGGCCGTATCTCCGACATGTTTGCTCCAGGCCTGACAGGATTGTTGCCGGATCACTCAAACTTGGCACTGACCCGCGGAGAAAAGGCTCTGAAGTGTCAGAATGAGGAAGTGTGCAGACATCAAGGAAAACACTGCAGATGAAAAGCCTCAACCTAATCTCCAACATCCAGAGGAAAGATGTCGGGAAGGTTTGTTTGAAAAACAATGTGTGGTTTGGAGGTGATTGGACTGGCCGCCTGCTGGGAGCATAGGGACTGATCTGCTGGGAGCACAGGGACTGATCTGCTGGGAGCACAGGGGCTGGACTTCTGCTGGGAGCACAGGGACTGGACTTCTGCTGGGAGCACAGGTACTAAACGTCTGCTGGGAGCACAGGAACTGAACGTCTGCTGGGAGCACAGGGACTGGACTTTTGCTGGGAGCACAGGGACTGGACCTCTGCTTGGAGCACAGGGACTTGACGTCTGCTGGGAGCACAGGGACTGGACGTCCGCTGGGAGCACAGGGACTGGACGTCTTCTGGGAGCACAGGGACTGGACTTCTGCTGGGAGCACAGGGACTGGACTTCTGCTGGGAGCACAGGGACTGGACGTCTGCTAGGAGCACAGGGACTGGACTTCTGCTGGGAGCACAGGGACTGGGGTTCTGCTGGGAGCACAGGGAGTGGACGTCTGCTGGGAGCACAGGGACTGGACGTCTGCTGGGAGCACAGGGACTGGACTTCTGCTGGGAGCACAGGGACTGGACGTCTGCTAGGAGCACAGGGACTGGACTTCTGCTGGGAGCACAGGGACTGGACTTCTGCTGGGAGCACAGGGAGTGGACGTCTGCTGGGAGCACAGGGACTGGACGTCTGCTGGGAGCACAGGGACTGGACGTCTGCTGGGAGCACAGGGAC